TGTATCGAGCTAAAAGGAGACTATGTTGAGAAATAAATCGCCACTTTTCCAAAATTTTCGTTTTTCTTTTGTAGGCTAAGTACTTATCGGACCACCCTCGTACATACATACATTAAAAAAAATAATTGGAGTTTGATACTTCTAAAAATAACACAATACGTGTTGCGCTTGTACTTGGCGCCTTTTTTTACCTTCTTGTTTAAAAAGGTAAGTTTTATATAAGTTTTACTTGTCAAATCTTATGTATTATCTTTAAGTTTTACTTGTAAAAACCTGTTATGTACACATATATACCTTTAAAAAAAAATTTAAATTTGAAATTTCTAAAAATAACACAATACATGTTGCGCTTGTACTTGGCGCCTTTTTTATCTTTTTGTTTAAAAAAGTAAGTTTTATAGTAAATTTTACATGTAAAAACTTAAACATTTAACATGTAAAATTTAACATGTAAAAACTTATGTTACGTACAATAACCTTATCGTAGATGAAATTCATTTAAAACGTTTCATCTCATTTCTAGTGAAATAAGATTTACTTGGTGCAGTATGCGTTCCCTAAGGTCTGCCAAGTTAGCAGATTTCGTTCAGTACACATTGTTTTTAACATATCCCTATAAGAAGTAGTCCAATGGAGAAAAATCTGGTAATCTAGAGGGCCACTCTATTTCTCCACATCTTGTTATCCATCGGTTTGGGAAAGTATCAGTTAAAAATTGATACTACTACTGCATAGTCCTTATCTCTGCTGACACACACACACACACACACACAGGGGGTGTAAAGTCCGATCATGCAACCTCCACGCGGTATATCCTGAATGATACTAATGCTGGCGGCACCGTAAATTCTAAAACTCATAACTCAGACAGTTCTCAACAAAAATAGGTCATCAAGTAGTGTTTTGGAAACAGCTCGTTGTTATATTTAACACTGTGTGATAAAAAATTGGATGTTCTGTTTAAAAAAATCATGTTGGCATTGACTTTGCCTTGACTCCTCTACTAAGGGTCAACTGGATATGATCATTCAATAGAACTTTTAAAATCCTACAACTTTTGTTGGAAACATTTTTCTTAAAAATGTTTCGTTTTCGAGGTATTTGACCGTTTCCAGACTTTTCTAACTGAAGTGATATGGTCCATTATCGATGATTTTATTAAAAAAATTTTTCGAACGAAAGTTGCATGGCTTGAAGGACGACACATGACGGAAATGTGGACTTGACCTTGAGTGACCTTGTCAAAATCAGGCCAAGGTCATTAATGTTTTTTTAAATAGAAACTACCATTTTTTATTACATATTCTTGTAGCTTATCTCGAGAGCTTTCCAAAACACTCTAACAAAGTTACATTTCATTGAGTACTTTCCGAGTTATGAGGCTTGGAAGTTAAGGCAAGACTCATCACTGATCCGACCAATTAAGACAAGATCAATTCGAATATGTCTTTAGTCGTTAATAAGTCTTAGCCTTAGAAGTACGAAATAAAACCTCCTTGCTTTTATTACAATATCCTGTAAGTTAACAAATATTCTTCACACGTACAAACATAGTATTATTATATTTTTATTGAATAGTGCACTGAACAACTATGACATTGTTCTGAGAGTTTTCTCATTTAGAGCGACGAAACAAATATATTTTATGAATTTTTTTTCGCGCAGATAGAAAATTTCACGGATGTAATTGTTTTTGGAGATTATTTAATACTGTATGAAAAATATTTATTAACTTACAGGATATTCTAATAAAAGCAAAGAGGTTTCATTTCGTACTTCTTGATTCTGTTACAATATTTTTTTATATTTCATACTACATCCTTGTATAACTTAAAATTATTCTCAAAATATTATTAAACAATTCAATAATCAAACCTGTGAACCTGTCCGACTCCGCAAAATAATTAATAAAATATATTTCATTTTCTTGGCGCCGAATATTATTAATACTATATTACAAATAATATTACAAATGTTCCGAATTGGAAAATCGCATCGGCGGTTCTGCGTGCTCATTAAAATCGTCCAGCGGATACACGCACGCGTGTATATTTCTAAATAGATTCTTCAAGTTCGATACAAGAATTTGCAGAATTAATTTAAAAACGCAATTTCAACACGTAGATACTGTCTAGAAATGTTAAATAATTTATTCGAAGTACTGGCCTTGTAATGCTCGGATTCTAGAAGTCTCGCAAATCGAAGCTTCTAGAATCCGAGACACAATCATGTTCCATGAAAGAAAAAGGGTAAACCGCGTCAACAAGACTGTGTTTACTGCTAGTCACGCGTGCATCGTTCGTCGACTCCAAGACTGAATGACTGTTCAATCCAAGTTTTATTTTTTCATGTTTACATTTCAAAATATTTTATAAATATTATGTTTTTAATCTTATTATGCGAAACCGTTGACGACTAATGCACAATTTCATTTGACAGGTACTCGCGTACCTGTCAAACGAAATATACCGACATGCCTGCTATTATCGACATTGATGATATTACCGGCGCCCCTAGCAACTAGCAACCCGTCGTACTGAGCCCTATGTTGATGCATCACCCTGTACATACATATATATTTTATATCAGTACATAATTGTAATATTGCTTGTACGTAATTGTATAATATTGTTTGTAATATTATTTTCAGTACGTTCCAACAAATTTTCATGCTTTGGAACTGTCGTTATTTTCCTCAGTAATAGTAGAAGATGTGAATGTTGACGTTGGTGTTATTGTATTATTTGGCTTGACCTATTGATATTTTTTTCTTTCATCTGTTAAACCAAGATGTTATATAAGTATATATGTATTGTGATATAAAGCGGAATTTATATAAGTCGTATCTGTAAATTTAACGAATTGAACCAAAAGGATTCAAAAGAGAAATAGTCAATGTTGTTAGATCTAACGGAATTAACTAATCTGCTTCTCAATCTTTACAATTAAATTCGTCAAGTTTGCGAATGTGGCTTATGTAAATCTCACTTCATATAAGATTAATTTTATTATAAACATACTGGAATAATTTTGACGTTTTGTGGCAGCCTATAGTTTGTTGATATTCCATAATTTTGAGGCATAAAAAAATTTTGTGATATTCCATAATTTGACGGCGGGGCCTCAGAACCAATTGCTTGTATCGCTTATACAAAATATTGCATCTGTTCTCTTTGAAATGCGTGCTCCTTCTCTATTATTTTTTTCTCCCACAATCTTTGGTTTGCCATTTCACCTTTTATCATTTCTTTCTACATGTCATTCTGTTTTATAATAATATCCGTTAAAATTTGTTCTTGTGCTTGTATTATATTCTTTGTATAATTGTTTAGAATAGTTTCGTAACTTTTTCTACCTGTAATGTTATAACAATACTCATTTATCTGCTGGTATCATATCACTCAACACTGATGTAGATTCTATGTCAATATTGTGTGATACTGATACCAGCAGATAAATGTACATATATATATATTCTGTTAATAATTCTACATTATACATATATTTAAAGTTGATCTTACATTAAATTGTGGCTAAAGAAATGGAAATATCTGATATTATTTAATTATCCTATACGTACCTGAAAGCTTGTTAAGTCCACGGTTTTTCTTTCTAGGAGGTTCGTTACTGATGGTTAAACTAGACTCGCTTTCTTCTGGGACTTCACTATCATTCATAGTTGAACAATCCTCTATATATCCACTCGCTGAAATCATATTCAATTACTTTTTTATTGTAATAATAATTATGCACAGCATTGAATGTTTCGGGACTAAGATTATGAATGGATGTTAACTAAGTTGTATGCTTTTCCTTCATATTAGTTTTTGAAACATAAGATGTACTCCGTAACATGCATTCAGAATCCCAGACTGTTTATCCTAGGCTTTGAGTACAATTTTGAAGATCAAAAATTCAAGAAAGCATTTAAAATGAATTAGCTAATTTCATTTGAATATAAATTGAATTATGACACTTACATGATTCATTTTCAATACTTGCAGTGTCGATTCCTGATGCATCATGAAAAACTTACACGTTTGACCGAGTACGAATACAAAATATCTAATTGTTCATAAAATGGACAGGTTGTTTTTGCTGCACCACTTATACTATTTTCTCTTTTACATTTAAAATAGGCAAGCTTTAACGTTTTTAGTTTTAATTTCATTTGTTGAGCCGTTTTAAAATAGCCTTTTTTCTCTATATCTTCCACTAATGAATAAAAAATACTAACATGTTTGTGTCTTTTCCCATCCATTAATGCAATAATCTGCTTCTCCGAGCATAATTCTAAAAATATTCGCGTTTCTTCTTCTTTCCAATTTAGTCCTTTTTTACAAGACATTTTAATGTAATATCGTTTAATCAAAGATTAATGACAATACCGGTTTTAATTGAGGTTATGCTCAATGCTAAATTACCTTCAAATTGCATTTTATGCGTTTACATCGTCATTTGTATCAATTGATACGCGTATCAATTTAGTACGATACTCCTACTTGATACGCTCACATCAAGTTGCTTTGACAGCGTTTACATCGTGCGTACTAAATATTTAGTACGAATTTGGTATGAATATAGTACTTAATACGCATATCAAGTGCACGATGTAAGGTGACTAAGTCATTAACGTTAAGTTTGCGTTATATTATTTTTCACTATAAATCCGTATTCTGTAAACTACTTTAACGCAATTTGTAACGCATTTTCTTGCGTTACGTAAAGTAATGCTAACGCTGGCTACCGGAGAACGTTAATGTCATAACGCGATCTTGCAAGGTTAAGTTAATATTAATATTTTTTATTGTGAATAAAACGGCTGGTGGAATACTCATCAATATGCTAAATGATGTGGAAAAGGAATAAAAGAGGAAAAATTCTCTAATAATGAAAGAGTTGAGAGATAGTATTAATCCATTTAATTTAACGGATGAACAATTTATAAGAGTTTTCCCCCCACAAAAACGTACATCGAATCCACGTGGAACACACATTGCATTTACGTGGAATTCACAAAACCACATGGATTTCACGTGGACACGTTCCTGTTTTCGTGGGGCCGCTTATCAAAAGAAGCAGTAATTTATATATGTGACTCACTTCAAAATATTTTGCAACGTAAAGGAAGAAGAGGATTAAGTGTAGAAACACAGGTAATTATGTAAATTCTAATATAACTTTAAAATACATAATAGACATGCGGACATTAAAGTTTTCCGCTATATTTAGATACAGTTCGGAACACAATTGATGGGTCAACGAAAGAACTTATTTGCTGAAAAGTTTTCAAAACAAGTTCTCTTATTAGACTATCAACTGCGTTCCGAACTATATTGAAAACATAACGAACAACTTTATTGATGTTCATGACTGTAAACTGATTTTGTTCAAATTTGTATAATAAAAAACTACGTGTTACTAATTACGTACAGGTTTTAATTGCACTGCGTTTTTTTCCTATAGGTTCTTATCAAAAAGATATTGGTATTGATTATCTGATATCTATACCACAACCAGCAACTAACAGAGCAATAAAAGCAGTAGCGATGAATATTACGCAATTGCTTATTGCCAATGAGTGGATCAATTGATACAAATTCCCAAACACAGAGGAAAAACGAGCAGCTTTAAAAGAAAAGTAACATCCTTTTACAATTATAAAAGACCGTTAAAAATTTACTCTGACTGTAAACAATTTATATTTTCCTTAAGAAAACAATATAATAATATCAAGAAATTGAAGTAATTTATATATGATTGCACTTAACTGTTGTGATTTTTTTTACAAATCTTTCTTTAAATAATATTAAATAAATTTGTCTATCCACTGAATTATTAATTTTTTCATAATTTTCTTATAATATTGTTTTGTACAATATATTTTTACAGATTTCGAAAGGAAAGGAATTTTAAAGGAGTAATAGGTTGCATAGATTGCACTCATGTCGCTATTGTGGGACCAAAACATCACGAGGAATCATATATAAACCATAAAAGGTTTCCATTCAATTAATGTACAGGTAGTAAGTAGACTCACTACAAAAATATATAATATATAATACTATTATAATAAAATATATAATAAAAATATATAATATATAATACTATAATATATAGTACTATACAAATTCAAAAAGAAACTTAATGCATACTTGTTTTATTTATAATAAGATAGCGTCACATGATTTGGAAATCTTAAACGTCAATGCTAGATTTCCTGGAAGTGTCCATGACAGCTTTATATGGAGACATTCTACAATAAGGGATGAAATGCAACGATTATATGATTCTGGAGATCGAACAACATGGCTTTTGGGTAAGTATCACGATTATTTTATATTTATTTACCTAATAATGTATATAAAAATGTTAATTTGATTATAGGCGATGCAGGTTACGGTTTGGAACCTTGGCTGATGACACCTATCACAGATGCACCAGAGCTATAAGATGCATAACGTTATACTAACATTATAAAAAAATAGCATTTTAATAATACAGAAAACAATGTGAGGAAATAATACTTAAACTATGATAGAAATATACAATAAAACTTACTTTTCTCCAACCTTCTATACCTTTTGATGGGCCGTCTAAGCTATTTAACTGTTCAGTTAATTGCTGCCATTGTAAATCGTGAACTGGCTTTCCTCTTGCTCTTAATAATTTGCCTGTGGCAAACGCAGTATGGTTTTCCATATACAGAGTCATCGAAAAGTATCGGACCCCCCTAATATCTTCAGTTAGAATGCATTTAGGAGAAAATGTTCAATAGCAAAGTTGTATGGTATATGCGCATATACTATTGCTTTTAACCATCGGTTTAGCTTTAAACTCCGTTTAAAGCAAGTTGTGGAACTGGGCCTTAGTTGACTTTTTTAGTAAACTATTTCTAAAATGGCTTTTTGTAAACTTTAACTATCCACATGTACCAACATATACCTATTAGAGATCCATTAGACAAATCATAGGTCTGTTTTTTATCACTGAACTAGTGTACACTCAAGGAACATAAAAAGAAATAGATATACATCTAGGAGTTAGTGAAAGGGAGAGAAGAAGAGAATAAGTGCACGTTAGTGCAGACAGTTCAGCAATAGAAAACAAAACCTCATACGTAGCTCCATCGATCTATTAAAGAAGCAAAGAATAAGCAATCAACGTGTCGTTCTTTCATGTATGTTTCGTAAAAAAAGATATTGGAAAAAAAATCGTATTTGATTGGTTACCGCTTTACCGCCTTGCTGCATCGTGTTTGTAAAAGTCACAATTGGTCTGTTCTTTTCAGCTGCACTGCGGAACTAGTGGAATAAGTTAAAATGAGACAACTATATTTTTTCTCACTTTAACTTATTGCACCAGTTCAGTAGTACAGCTAAAAAGATCAGACCAAATGTGACAGGCATCACGCATATTAAGCAGTATGAGTCGCGGCGGAACGTAACGAACGTTGGTTGTGTTTTCCCCAGCTGCTGTCCTTTGTGCTTTTCTTGCCTCTTATTCAACGACCTGGCTATTCCTTTTGTGGCTTATTCTGGTTATCTGACACTCCTGGCTATTCTACATTGATTTTGGCTGTTTCTTTAACCGGATTTAAATTTCATTGACGTACTACTTCATGTATGGAACAAAGTAAATGGACCCGCAGAGAATTCAACATGTCCCCTCCACGCATATGGAGGTAGAACTCTCTGGTACATCTCTCTTAAACGTCACTCCATCCACTACGGAAGAAACCACGCAAACTAATACAGGTAATCTTACTCATAACCTGAAAAAGAATCGACTCGCTGAACATGACTCGGATTCGGACCATTCATCCAAGTGGGCACGTGTTCTTTTATCTGAGCATATCAAGTTTCTTATCAATAACAAATATTTGTCTAATTCGAATGGGCCGTTTGAGGTTCACCTTGAAAAATTAGATGATACCGAATTTAACAAACACAATGTTAGCAAAATTAAATTCGGAAAGAAGTTACCCATACAGCACAGAACTGCAGCAACATTGTTGTAACATTGCAAAATTGCATATTGCAGTGCAATATTACAGCAAAATTGCAAAAACAATATTGTGCAATATTATTTCTGCAATATTGCAGCTATATTGCAAAGATATTAATTTGCAGTAACAATTGAATATCCGTGAGCGAATGTCCTATGCGACGCTAAACGCTTTAACCTCCTCTTTTTACCTCCTCTTTTAACCTCTATTCGTTGATAGATATTACAAAAAAACTTGATTGTGATTGTTCAATTTTTAAAGTTTACGGCTTAAATCACCAAATGTTAGACTAGTTAGGGTTAAAGTCGGTCTTAACTCTATGATTCATTGTAAAACCAGCTTGTCGTCAGCTTGTCGTCATGCTATATCAATATTCTAATTGGTGAAGAAGACCTTGTGCCTCCATCGAATCAGCAGAGACCTGGTCACGTGATCAGTTTGCAACTCTCTCCCTTTGAGGCTCTCTAGCTGGAAGTTGGAATCTCCTTACAGTGTCTGTTACGTAGCTGGAGAAAAGAGGTATGTAAATACATTTGGTTATTGTAACAAAGACGTTATTGCAACGTCTTTCGATCAAACTGATCTAGATCGCAGTCATATTTTCATCTCAAACGAGAAAGAACGCTTATCGACATATAATGGCAATGTAAATATCGTTTTGCAACGCAATTCACTCCGTAAAATATTACAATTCGTCCCTTTATATTTTATTTAGTCAAGTTGCAGATGACACAAATGCGTGTGTCGAGAAACTGACGGAGCCTTATAACCTTTCTGAAAGACCTCATTGGAACCACCGTACTCAGAAATTGTATTTTGTCCACCTATATAAGTATATACGTAGACTACACCCTGCAACAGGTGTTGTAAGCAATGTATACAGATAAGACTATACAGGGCGTCCCATTTAATCTGACAAATCGTAATATCGGGAAAACTACATGTCGGATCAAAAAAAGTGGGTAATGAAATTTGTTCGTCTCGAAGGGGGACACCCAATGATATCAAACTCGACCGCCCACCCTTCTCCCGGGGGGGGGCAACTTTGAAATCTTAAATGGGAACCCCCATTTTTATTGCAGATTCGGATTCTACGCCACAAAATACGTAAGTTTCGTCCGAAACTTTTTTTTTATTCGTGATGGCGCTGTAATCGCAAAAAATTAGATTTTCTGCAATTCTCCAGAAATGATCATTGGATTGAAAAATAAAAAAATACCTGTTCAATATTTTTAAAAATATTTTTAAAAAACATAATAACAGTTATTCCCCCCATCCTCTCGGGGTAGGGTAGGTGGTAACGTTCAAATATCAAATGAGAACCCACATTTTTCATTGCAGGATTAGATTTTACGTGAAGTTTTTATGGAAACAATTTTTTTCATTCGTGATAGATAGCGTTAAATTTTTCCGAGAAACTACTTTTCTCGGAAAGGTAAGAAAGGTAAGTGTCTAATAATGATCGTCTCATAAGTTCTATGGGCGCGGACGATGGAGAGATGCCACTAACAAATTAATTATGCAAAATCACCCCGATAGTGAGAAGGGACTCACCTAAAACAAGCACCCCGAAGGGAACAGAAAGCTACTACGTCCTCGTCGTTGTTCCTGGGTAACACTAAAAGTAGTTTCTCGGAAAAATTCAACGCTATCTATCACAAATGAAAAAAATTGTTTCCATAAAAACTTCACGTAAAATCTAATTCTGCAATGAAAAATGTGGGTTCTCATTTGAGATTTGAACGTTACCACCCACCCTACCCCGAGGGGATGGGGGGGAATAACTGTTATTATGTTTTTGAAAAATATTTTAAAAAATATTGAACAGGTATTTTTTTATTTTTCAATCCAATGATCATTTCTGGAGAGTTGCAGAACATCTAATTTTTTGCGATTACAGCGCCATCTATTACGAGTCAAAAAAAAGTTTCGGACGAAACTTACGTATTTTATGGCATAGAATCCGAATCTGCAATAAAAATGGGGGTTCCCATTTAAAATTTCAAAATTGTCCCCCACCCCCACCCCCTGGGAGTGGGGTGGGAGGTCGAGTTTGATATCATTGGATGTCCCTCTTCGAGATGAACAAATTTCATTACCCACTTTTTTTATCCGACATGTAGTTTTCCAGATATTACGATTTGTCAGGTTAAATGGGACACCCTGTATATCTCTTGGGTATTTATTTGGTTCCCCGGATTTCACTTTGAAAATTGATTAGACTATAAGCTATTTCGATTCGCTTTTACACAAAATGAACGAATTTTAAAGAAAAAAGTATTATTCTACTCCGTAAAGCAATATGATTTTGATCAATATTGCAAATAACAGTATTATTTAGATTCAAGTTGCTATTTAATTATTATTTAAAATTTTATAAAAATAATAATAATATGGTAATGATATATATTTCAGAAGCTGTTCGTATATCCCACAGCGCAATGATAGACGACTGTGCGGAATATGTATGGAAATGGTTTGCACAAGCTGTACGGATTTCAAGGCAAAAAATTGAAGAAACGGTGGCTCATGATTAACAATGATATTATCCTTTAATATAGTATTTTTATTAATAGTTTTATTAATAGTATTAATATAATATTTTTCATTTATATGTGTTCCTTATATATATATGTGTTCATAATTTTTGATAGTTCTTTGATGTTTTTCGTTTATTTTTTACTACCGAAGTAGATAAAACACTTTATTTATGTTTTATATACATAGTTTATATTTTGTTACGAACACCATTATGTATGTGCACCATTTAGTATATTAACTAAAAAAGCAAATTTTTATTTAATATTAATTGTTGCAGGATACTTTTATAAATAGATATACGTGTATAAATAGATGTGTATAAATAAATATATATATGTGTTATAATTTTGACTTATTAATAGTTACAATACTACTGCGATTGCTGTTTAACACAATATCTATACTATAGTATGGAGGACTTCCGTTTCCGGTAGCGTAGGAGTGTGACGAGTGTGCGAGTGAGTAGCGAGAAATTGTAACGCGAATATGGTGAGAAAGAGAGAGAGTGTAGGTGTGAGAGTGAGTGAGAGGGTGAAAGGGCGGGAGAGGAGGGGAGGGGAGAGAGGGAGGGGAAGGGAAAGGGATAGGAAGGTGGAACAGGGCAGAGAGGAATTCAGGATCAAGAAGGTTGGGTGACAAGGCAGGAAGAAGGGCACAGAGTATAGAGGAATAGAGTGGAGATAGAGTGGTAACAGTGGGTGACGGGAGAGGTGACAGCGCCAGAGGGAAGTGAATAAAGGAGGAAGTAGGTAGGGAGTAGAGGGAGTGGTAAAGAAGAAAAGGGAGAGAAAGGCTAGAAAGGGAGATGGAGGATGGAAAAAAGGAGACGTAAGGGGGTTAGTGGGAGAAAGAGGGGAAAAGGAAAGATTGAGGAGCACAGGAAGCAGGGGAAGTGTGAAAAGTGTAGGAAGTGTAGGGAGTGTAGAGAGTGCAGGGAGTGGAAGGAGTGTAGAATGGAGTAAGAGAAAGAGAGAGGCGACAAGGGAGGAGATGAAGGGGAGAGGGGGGAGGGGGGAGACGGGAGGAGAAAGGAAAAAGGTGCAGCTGAAGTTGGGAAGAGGGGGAGGGGAAGAGGAGGAGAGGTTTAAGGTAATGTGCGAGAAAATAGGCAAGGAAATGGCAATAGGGATTAGGGAAGATATAGGAGAAATAAAGAAACAGATGAAGGAAGGATTGGAGGGGATAGAAAAGAGGATGGAAGAGATGAGGGAGGAGATGAGGAGGAAGGAAGAGAGATGGGAAAAAGAGAAGAGAGAAATGATAGAGAGAATAAGGAGCTTGGAGGAAGAGGGGAAGAAAGGAAGGGGGAACGGGAGGGGAGATGAGAGAGAAGAGGGGATAAGGAAATTAGAGGAAAGGGTGGATAAGTTGGAGGAGAGGGGAAGGGGGGAGGGAGAGGAAAATGAAAAGGAAAATAAAAAGGAGATGGAAGAGAGAATAAGGGGAATGGAGAGGGAAATGGAAAGGAAGGAAAGGGAGAGTAGGAAAAAGAATATTATAATAAGAGGGTTAAAAATAGAGAATGGGAGAGAGAAAGAAGAAGTGGAGAAATTATTGAAGGAAATAGGAGCGGAGGCAAGGATAGAAAAGATAAGGAAAATAAAGGTAGATAGAGAAGAACTAGGAGAAATGATAGGGGTGGAAATGAAAAGTGGGGAGGAGAGAAAGAGAGTGTTGGAAAGGAAAAAGAACTTGAAAGGGAGGGAGATATGGATAGAAGAAGATTTAACGGAAGAAAGAAGGGGGAGATGGAATGTAAGAAGGGTGGCAAGGGAGGAAAAAGCAAAAGGAAAAAGGACGTTTATTGACAGGAATAGGGTGAGAATAAATGAGGAATGGTGGAGGTGGGATATGGAGGAAAAAGTATTGAGGAATGATAAGGGGCAGAAGTGGAGGGAGGAAGAAAGGAAGGGGGAAGGACAAGGGAAGGCAAAGTGAGGGGAAGGGAGGAGATGGAGGAGGGAGGGTGTGGGGGAGAGAGGTGAGGAGCAGGGGGCGGGAGGGGAGGGATGGAGTGGGGGAGGAGGGAGAGGTGGATAGGACGGAAATGAAGAGGGGGGCGGAAAAGAAAAAGAGAAGGAACAAGAAAAGAGAGCAGGGGCGGAGGATAGGACAGGGGAGAGGGAACAAAAGAGGGAAGGGGGAGAGGGAAGAGGGGAAGAGGGGGAGGAAGGGAGGAGGAAAAAGGGATGGAAGGGAGAGGAGGAAGAGGGGAAAAGGGGAGAGAGGAGGAAGAAAGAAAAAGGAGAGGAAAAAAGGGAGAAGGGAAGATGGAGAGTAGCGTTCTGGAATGTAGCAGGAATAGCGAATAAGGACAAGGAGTTTTGGCAGAAGTTCAAGGAATGGAAAGTAGTGATGATGGAAACGTGGTTGGATGGGAAAGGGTGGGAGAAGATAAGAAGGAAGTTGCCAGGGGAGTATATTTGGAAGGTACAATTGGCGAGACGAAAGAATAAAAAAGGGAGGGCATGTGGGGGAATGTTGATGGGGATAAGAAAGGAAATGAAGGTGGTAGAGGAGGAGGGGAAAGAGGAGGAGGAGGAGGGCAGAATGAAGGGGGTAGTGAGAGCAGGAGGGAAAAGACAGAATTATGGGAGTGTATGTGAATGGAGATCTGGAACGAAAAATGGAGGGAATGAAAGAATGGATGGAAGAAGGAGAAGGAGGAAGAACGTTAATACGGGGAGATTTTAACGCGAGAACGGGGGAAGAGGGAGGGGGAGGAGGGGGTGGGGGAGGGCGAAAGAGGAAGGAAGTCAAAAGACAAGAAAATAAATAAGGAGGGGAGGAAGATGGTGAGGGTGATAGAGGAGAGGGGATGGGAAATATTGAACGGAAATATAAAGGGAGACGAGGAAGGAGAATTCACCTACACGGGAGGAAGAGGGAACACGATCATAGACTACGTGATAGCAGATAGAGAAGGGAGAAGGAAGATAGAAAGGTTAGAAATAGGAGATGAAATAGATTCGGATCACCATCCGATGGTGGTATCGATAAGGGAGGAGGGGAGGAAGAGGGGAGGGAGGGAAGGGAAGGAAAGGGAGAGGGGATAAAAAGGGGTATATGGGATGTGGAAGGAAGAGTGAGGTTTAGGAGAAAGATAGGAGAACGAGAGAGAAGGAGCGGAGAGTTAGAAGAGGAAATGGAGTAGAGGGAGGAGAGGATAAAAAAAAGCGTTGAAAAAATGGGACATAGAGGGGGAGAAGGAAAAGAGAGATAGAAGAGGGTGGTGGGACGAAGAATGTAGAAGAGAAAAGAGGGAGGTAAGGAAGAGGCTAAGGGAATTGAGGAGAGGAGGGGGAAAGGAGGAGAAATATAGGGAGGGAAAGAAAGATTACAAGAGGTTGTGCGAGAAAAAAAGAGAGAAGAGAAGGAGGAGATAGAGAGGGAAATAGAAAAGGCAAAGACGGAAGGGAAAGTGTGGGAACTGGTGAATAAGGAAAGAAAAAGAAGGGAAAGAATAAGTAGGGAGATAGGAATGAGGGAATGGAAAGAATATTTTATGGGGATGTTAGGGGGAGTAGAAGGAAGAGTGGTGAGAGGAGGAAGGAAGGGAGGAGAGGAGGCAGAAGAGGCGGAGATAGAGTGGGAGGAAATAAGGGGGGTGGTAAGGAGATTGAAGGATGGGAAGGCAATGGGGGCGGATGAGATATCAAATGAGGTATGGAAATATCGAGGAGAAGAGGTGGGGAGGTGGGCAGGGGACATTTGCAGGAGGGTGTGGAGAGGAGAAGGATGGTCGGAGGGATGGAAGGAGGGATGATAGTAGTGCCAATAATAAACAAGGGGAAAGGGGAGACAGTGAAGGAGTACAGAGGAGTAACACTGATACCGTCGTTGTACAAAGTTTATGCGAAGGTGCTAGCGGAAAGATTGAAAGAACTGGAAGGGAAGAGATTATTGGCGGGGAATCAGGCAGGGTTTAGGAAAGGAATGGGAACAATAGACCAAATATATGCGTTGAATTATCTGATTAACAGGCAGGTAGGGAGGGAAGGGGGAGGGTTGACAGCGGTATTCATAGATCTGAGAGCGGCGTTCGACTCGGTGGACAGGAGTGTGTTGATAAGAACAATGAGAGAAAGAGGGGTTAGAGAAGGATTGGTGGGAAGGGTGGAAGAAATGCTGAGAGAGACAAAGAGTAGGGTGAGAGTGGGAGGGCAGATAGGAGAGGAGTTTTGGACGGCGAGGGGGGTCAGGCAAGGGTGTCCACTGAGCCCAATTCTTTTTAATATAATGATGGCGGATATGGAGGAAGAAAAGGCGAGGGGAGGATGGGGAGGGGTAAGGCTGGGAGAGGGAAAGATATATACACTAACATACGCGGATGATGTGGTGCTACTGGCAGAGGAGGAGCAGGAAATGAGGAGTATGTTGTATAGGTTGGGAGGGTACTTGGATAGGAAAGGCTTGGAATTAAATACGGATAAAACGAAGGTAAAACGAAAGTAATGAGGTTTAGGAAAGGAGGAGGGAGAAAAAAGAAAATAGGATGGTTATGGAAGGGAAAGAGGCTGGAGGAGGTGAAAAAATTCAAGTACCTAGGATATTGGATACAAGGGAATGGGGGGCAAGAAGAGCAATTGAGAGACAGGAGGAAAAAGGCGGCGGTGGTGATGAGAGAAGTATGGGGGATAGGGAAAAGGATATGGGGAAAAGATTGGAAAAGGAGAATATGGCTATTTGATACATTGGTGTGGACAGTAGCGGGGTATGGAGCGGAAATATGGGGATGGAAAGAAAGAGAAGAGATGGAAAAAATGCATGAAAGGTATATGAGATGGACAATGGGAGTGGACCGAAGGACGCCGGGATACATGATAAGGGAAGAGCTGGGAAGGGAGATGATGAGGACAAGAGCAGGCAGAAGAGCATGGAATTTTGAGAAAAGGCTGGAAGAGGGGGGGAGATGGCGAGGAAATGGTGGGAAGAAATGAAGGGGAGGTGGGGAAGGGGAAAGATAATAGGAAGATGGGAAAGGGAAAGACAGCAGTTCAGGAGGGAGAGGGGGATAGAAGAGGGAGGAGA